CACACACACACACACACACACACACACACACACACACACACACACACGCAGAAACAGACACAGACACAGTTATTTGTCTTTTTTCTTCTGCTGGTCGTCAGAGTTTGTTTGCTGGTCTTTGGTTTTTCCCAATAATCACATCAGTCTCTTATATCTTTGCACAAAAATTAAAATTTTACCAACTATGCAGTCACTCACTAGAGGGAAAGATATTCACATATAAGCCCCTTTAGGACAATGTTTGATTTGGAGGTTGACGTAAACAATTGCATTTGCTCGTCATTATTCCTGCGGGAACTACTACAGTCCCAATTGCCTGCTGTCCTTTTTGGTCACAGTCCTCCCATCATCTTAAATCCCCTCCAGACAAAAAGCGAACCTCCATATTTAGATACACAAAGTGTTGTGTTTCCAATGATTCAGTGTGATCAGTTACCTGCCTTCCCCCGGAACATTAAGCACACAGACACACACACACACACACACACACACACACACCTGTGTTCCCGGTGCTGGGCGGTCTTTGTGGAGGGTTCATGCTTCTGTGGAGGTGTGTGTGAGGCGAGGAGAGGATCCCACTGTCGGCCAGAGCTGCTGTGGCTGCAGCTAGAGCTTGGGAGGTCGCTGCTACTCCTCCTCCTCTTCCTCCTCCTCCTCCTCCTCCTCCCCCTCCTGCACCGGGGCTGTACGACATGCTGCCGTGCATGAAGTTCTGCTGTGGAGGGCCTGTGGACTGGAATGGGAGTGACAGATAGAGCCATGTCACCATGAGCTTGATGAATTTTTTTGTCTTTTAATTTGTCTTCTTGTGTTCTATGTATGCGTTGTTTGACCAGGTACCTCACCAAAAGGTCAAGCATGCAATCAACTACTAAACATAAATGTAACATTTTGTGCTACAGAGACTAAAAGAAAGGGAGGAAGAATCCCAGTCGAAACCAATAGGCTTTTAGATCCAGTGGGGAAGAAGCCAATGTGTTAGTCTCTGAACAGACGTCCGGTATTAATAAGCAAGGCTCTGATGTGCGTCAGCAGAGGTGCTTAGTGGCATACTGTGTGTACACAATAAACTACAGTGCAACTCACAATTTTATGACTCTTCATCATGTTGTCAAACTCTTCATTGATCTTCTTGTATTTCTCCTCGGTGTGCGGGGTGAGGACGTAGGAGGCGTCAGCATCAGGGCTGTCACAGCCTCTGTGCTCCTTCTTGTTCAGGGCCTGCGGGTGAAATAAACACAGGGGAGAGACGTAGTAATTAAAAGCATTGGTAAACAAGTAGAGATTTCACCAACATCAATAGCTCTTCGGCACAGCTTACAGTGGCCTGTAGTTGACATTCATTATAAATACACATTTTCCCCAGAGAGAGTGGTGAGCTCACTACTGAGAGCAGAGAGCACTTCATACATCACCATGAACCAGTTAGTTAAAAATGATTTACACATCTATTTCAAATCTTTATTAATTCCTCATGATGGAAAAGTCCTTCATTAAGAATTAGAATGTGCAGAAAACCTACAGCTTTGAAACACAAGGGTTCAGTGTTTTTCCTCACAAAGCCCCATCATATTTTCCTATTACTTTCCCTCATTGCATTGGAAATTGAAATGTAGTTTCTGTAGTTAGTTATGTGGTCTATGCAAGAGGGGGCATTTCTGCAAACGTAATGTTTTCTTTCAGTTTTCTTGTCATAGCTCTCTGCTACTATTTATATCAAAATCAACGTAGTAAATCCATCTACAATTGAATACAGGATTTTATAGGATAAATTAATAATAATCAAGTATTCAAGCATTTAAGTATACAAGGATATCTCCCTTATCTACCAACCTACATACCTTCCTTCAGACTTGTTGCTCCCTATCTAACATGCGGTGAAAGAGCAGGAAGGAAAACCAACCGCCATCAAGACTAGAAATTAGAATGATAACAATAATAATAATAATAATAATAATAATAATAATAATAATAACCACAGTATAAAGATACTTCCCAAACACTGAGGGCACATACTGTGTTTACATTTCTGCAAGTCTGTTGATGAAATCCTGCAGACTTTGTTACTGTGATTCTAAATACAGTAAAGGACGAGGAAAACACATTTTCACCCTGTGGTACGATGTCTCTAATGCGTTATCACTTTGTAACAACATTCTAAAATAATGCATGGCGTTTGGGTTCATTCCACATTATTCATATATCTTTTTAGAAAAATGTTTCCAATCTTATTCTATATTTTGAGAATCAGTATAAAAAGTGGCCTACACTCACAAATTCAATGAACAATTGGTGTCTACTTTGAAAAAAGCATTCATGTTTTACGTGTACAGTAGCTGAGCAGCTGCATCCGTGCTTTAGCCAAATATCATCCGCCCATACGGAGCATATATTCTTCTTCTCTCCAGTGTTGCACACAATAACAGTAATTGTCCTCCAGAGAGATGCTGCTCCACATCACAGACTTGCTCATCTATATTCACAGCGGCCTATAAAACACAGTGGACTGGAGTAAGCAGATATTAGTTTTATAGTGAACCTGAAACAACTTTGGGTTTGTTTAGGTGTTTATAGTTGCGTAGGGTGGATAGACAGGGAAATAAAAGGCAAAGCGTCGGGTGTTAATGTATCCCTGAGCACCACAGAGATACAGCAAGTCAAATTAGATTCATTAGCACAAACAAATCTGTAGAGGATCGAATTACTGTCAGCAGGATAGCTGGGACAAGATATCCACACTGCTGCAGTCCTGGTAAAGACTAGAATTACCGCCACGCCTCGTTGTATGCCTCCACCATCCAGTCCAGTTGCAGTTTACATCACTTCATTTTATCCTATTAAACATTTGTGTGAAATTGTCATAATTAGCATATACATTTTTAAGTTAAGCCCAAAAACGGTCATCAAGTATGGCAATATGAAAGGTATAGAAACATTCCCATTTAAAATAGTTCTTTTGGCGAACCGAGGCGGTTGCTATGGCAAGGCAGCAGATAATACATTTTGATTTTGATCACAGGCTAGCGTTACATTGGTTTCATTATTTGGCTCTTTAGTCACATAATTTGTACATTGCCATGGTAAAGGCACTGGTAGGGGTTGGACATGAAGGTGTGATGGCAAGGTTAAGGGCTGGGTAGAGACCTGATGGGAACTGCAACGTTGGCTGATAACTCTATGTGGGTTCTTTAACAAGCAACATCTTTCACGTTACACACAACGTTGTCATGTGACCCATTGTTGATATAAAAATATTACAGCAGTTAAGTCCAAAGAAAGGAATGCACATTCAAAAAGCTATAAAAAAAAAAAAAAAAGTGTAATGTATCACATTACAAGAAATATATGTTATTCCCATCGTAAATGAAAATGAAGCCAATCAAGGACTTGGCAACGTTCAGGTGGTTTAGAAAGATCAGGTTTAGATAATTGGTTTAGAACATGGACGGATGAATTGATGGATGTTAATTTAAAGCACCTGGACTTCAGTACAGGAGTCATTGCAAAAAAAAAAAAAATCAAATCATACCGGCATCATGCGAGCCTGAGATGACATCACTTCTCTGGTATCCACCATCTCGTCTCTGCTCCTCATTACATTACACGTCATTGCGCGAAAAGGACGGACCGACACACCAGCTGACTGCCTGTCCACCACATGTCCTCTGCATTCCCAGACACTGGTAGTTATTAGGAGCTTTAAAACACACACTTGCGAGTCTATTTCCACCGCAGGCCTGAAACTACATTCAAACAACTGGCGATCACTTGGAGAAGTCACACGCTCAATTCAACGGCTGGATATTGCCACACCCCCCATAAACATTCAACTGGCCAGTTTAAATTAGGACACACACGGTGTTTGTTTGGCTTGTTCAACTCAGGACAAGCTATCCCTAAAGCTGCAGTTTTTATCTAATTATTGGATAGTACATTTTGTGAGTTACAGTGGTGTCAGTATTATTTGTTATTACTCAAAATGTATAATTCAAAGGAATTATACATCAGTGAATTCAAAATTCTGTAAATTACAAATGACAAACATTCTAACGCACATGGCCATGATTAGAATAGTGAATAAGAAATAGGGATAGGATTACCTGTATTGAGATATCACACAAAAGTCTGCAGAGATTGGAATGTGTCGGTGTAAACAAGAAGCACTGCAGTGCGATCAAATATACATCCATTCTTACAAGGGCTAAAATGTATGTCTGTCATGTGAAAATAAACTCAGGATTATGCTCCAACGGTCACTTTTACAACAGGAAAAGATGCGGGATCGATCTCAATCTGGCTGGCTGATTGCAATCATAACTTGTAAAAACCCTTCAAGAATACCATAAACAAGTTGACACAGCTCCAGAGCAAAATACAGCATTCCAGCTTTGATATCCAACGCATAATGACTCGTCAATCCTTATCAATGAGAAGAAATTAGCCAATTTATGACAGACGGAAAGTTCTTGTTTGCTTAGCATCAGGAGATTATTACTCTACGATCATCCTCTGCTTGACCTTTCAACCAAAAGGGAGGGAAGAGGACAGCTGTTACCAGGCATGTGATCACTCCAGTGTCTTTAAATGTTTCACACCATTCTCAGGCAGCTTAAAAGTTTGTCTTTGAATATGGGGGGGGGGGGAGGAGGACAAATGGCTCCTATTAAAGCAGTTGTCCTCTTTAGAGAACGGACAGCGGGACAGTAAGAGAGCACGGAGGGCCACAAAGTAGTCCCAGGAGAGAAGGGTCTATTCGGACCAAGAGCCACCGGGCTATATGTGGCTCCACAGATGCTGGTTTGAACCACTGCGTCATGTCTGGGCACTGCCGACTATCTCAAAGTGTCGGCTTGAGGATCTGAGAGTGCGTGTCTCCTTATCATCTCAAATGTCAGTGGGCTTTGGTGGATCTCCACAGGCATGCGGCTCATTGCCACCACGAGACACGAGCTGAGACGTTGAGCATCTTAACATGTGAGGGGGGGATGTCCTGTTGCTGTTGGGGCTGCATCAAAGATAAAATAAGCCCCCCTCCCCTTTTCCCTGGAGAATCTTTTCCAGTTGGGAGATTGCCCTATGGGCTAAGAATAGGGAAGGCACAGTTGTGTTTGAGATGCCATTCGACACACCTGTGGCAGATAAGCTCACACACTTTCAAACTCCATGTCCAAGCAGTTTTTGCAGATTGATTTTTTTTTAAATGAAGGATCCTATCACATTTGACCTGTACTAAAGCCAAATCGACCGCTCTGCTGTGTGCCGCAGAGTCAGGTTTCAGGGTTCATAGTTTTCACTTTCTGTTATGGTTCTCATTTATCTCTGGGCTCTGCAGGCTGAAATGACTGCACTGCATACCTTGGACGGCTGCTCTGTTGTTGCTGAAACTCAACTCTGCTGCAACACAAACCTGTGTCATTATTATGACAAAGGTAATCTGTCAGTGAGGTTGGCTGACCAGTTTACTGACTTTGTAGTGTTTTTAGCTGGCAGACCATCAACGTTAAAAAAAAAAGAAGTCTTCCTGACATCCGCCTTCGTTTAAGGTTGACGTTCCACTATTATCTCCTCAGTATGGAGGTAGATCTGTAGTGGGTATTTCAAAAAGGTTTAATTGCTGAAAGTCAAACTGAAATTAGAAATATGTTTTGCTAATAAATCATTAAATATCAATTGTGATACATTTCTGCTATAATCTCATCAATGTGCATCTAAAGCTAAAACAATGTATTATCAAAGGTGTTGTATAGACTTGTTAAAAAGGGAGAAAAAGACTTGTATTAACATTTTCAAGCTACACAGTATGGCGTTTTCTCTGGGCAGTAACAAACTATGACAGCTGTGTTAACAGCCAAGGCAACTCGTCGTCTGCAAGCATCATTGACTCTCAGATGTCAGTCAGCCAGTGTCATGGGAAAGGTCCAGCCATTGTTGCCATATGATTGAGGAAAATTCAAATTTCAAGTTGACTTTTAAAAGAAACTGCCAAACAAAGTTAAGAGTTACAGCCTATGCAGGATGTGTAAACTGCCTGTGTGCGTCGAGAGTACTTGCGGGGCTGTTTGTGTGTTCATGCCACAGAAATAATCATCAGCAAACATCATGTTCCATCAAACAACAACAATGAATCCAAAGAAGCTTTCTGCCGGTCCACCAGGACATGGGAAGTCTGTTGCAGCCAGTGGGGTATTACTTTACACATAGTCAAATTTTAGACTTGAATGTTGCAAATGGACGACCGATATGTAAAAGATCAAGCGCTCACTTTCCAGGCTTTGTTTTAACCAGCTTGTGTGTCTGTGTGTTATATGTGTGGGAAAAGCAAAAAAACAAATAAGGCGTTCAAAGCAGGCAAATCCAGCCCGGTTAATGGCTTACAGAGCCAACACAGGTGTCTGCGTGTGGTCTATTACAGCAGGAGGACAGACGTGATTATGCCATTTAGAATCATTATGGGTGATATTAATGATGCATGTTACCAACCTCTACCACTACCATCACTACATCCAAGAGGATGAATTCACCATTTAACAGTTGTGGTCTTTGGAGAGGCTTTACTGTTTCACATGCATGTTCCGGTTCATCCCTGAATCTGTTCTGGCTTTTTTGCAGTACTATAATCGTCTTATTCCCATGAGACACAATGTTAGATTTACTTGGGAAGTTTGACTCTGTGATTTTGGTAAGCCAGAGGACACTGAGGGAATGCAGAGAGAAGCTGGAAAACATGCTCTCCCGAAATAAACTTGAACACTGAAGCTCCTCTCTTTTTCAGGAAGGAGGGAAGAGGCATTTTGAAAATAAACACTGGGAAGCTTAGCGTCCTTTAAATTTGACAGTTTCTGTTTGTGTGTGTGTGTGTGTGAGAGAGCAGTAAGTTCAGGCTCTCAGCAATGCAAACACGCATTACAAGCTTACGTAAACAGCAAGAACGTGAGTCACGATGGCCGGTCATTATTAATGGCAGCTGCAATGAGTACGTGCTGCGAGAGGCAGTGCAGCGCCGCTCAGGGTCCACGATGCAGCCAAAGGAACGGCTGGATCTTATCACTGAAAGCATCAATGTCGCCAGTAGGCCAGCTACGACTGCCGTGTGTTAATGCTACAATAAACAGTCCCACAGAGGATTTGCATAATACAAAGTTAGAGGACCAACCCAATGTTTATCTACGCATGTCTTGCAAATTCATGATGTGAAAATCTCACGACTATTTAGTCATTTAAATGGACACACCATCAAGTAGCTGCTACACATTCACCTTTTTCTCTCTCGCATACCTACCATTTTTGTACCAAATCTTTCGTAACATTTTAGTGAAGTTCACCATCTTGCCAAATTTAGTCATTCAATAAACTAAGAAACCCATATTTGCAGTATGTGTAATCCATTGTAGGATTACACATACTGGTATGTAGATACTTGTAGTCTTGGCATGCACTTTGACTTGGATATAGAGTTCAGCATTTATGCGTTTCCTCGAATGAAAATAAAATACATTATATGTCTTTCGAAATGTATATTCTACTTCCCTAAATTTGAAAAAAAGTAAGACAGCACTGAAGGCAGCAGCAGCTTAACGACAACTGCGGAGTCCTCTGCCGTTACACTTTCTAGAAATACATCTTTCTACCAACTGTCAATGGATAAAATTTAATGTTAAGGGTCTCCTATCAATTCCCAAGGCATGAATGCGCTCTTCTGAACTATCACATGAGAAAAACTATTAGATATAATATATTTTCTTACATTTTGCAAGAGTTAAAGAAAGAAAAACTGTTGACTGCGATGCATATTTGCATTTAGCTGGCACTCGCAACACTAAGTGCAACAGCATAGTAAGTTTCAATAGACCGCCCACCAAAAGTAAAGAGGAAAAAGAAAGTTCACATTTTGTCTCCGAACACAGACTGGGTACCACAATTTGTGTGGTCAAAGCTTTCCCATGACAACACTAGAACTAACATTATAACTAATGATGGAGAAGACCACTTTATTAAATTACAGTACCACTCACCTCTACAATGTCAGAGTTGGTTCTGCTCTCGTGGGGTTCGTTGTACTCGGTGTATTTCAGCAGGACTTTGTCCATGTCGGTGCTGGCATACTGGAACAGCTTGTTGGAGCTGTTGAAGATGATGAGGGCGATTTCACAGTCACACAGAACGCTCAACTCATAGGCCTTCTTCATCAGACCAAACTTCCTCTTCGTGAAAGTCACCTAGCAAGACAGAAACCAAGGATCAATGTTGTTTTCTTCGATCACCTGCTCCTTTCCCTTGACATAAAAGGACGAGGGACAAATTAGGAGGAGTTTCGGTTAAATAAGTTGGGATCTTTGCAGTGTCATACAACTCAGTCCTTGTTCAGTGGCAAATTTTGGACAAAGACAAGCAGTTCACATGCAGAGAGAACAAAAGGGATGAGCAAGAGTTTAATAACCGATTGCTTTTTAAAAGCCTTTTGAAGCCAGAATCCGTTGCTCATCTACATATTCTTCCCATTTTTTCTCTCCTTTTTCTTTGATCTAATGCAAATTCTGAGCCGTCCTTGACACAAGACGACACCATTATTTGTACAATTAAGACCAAAAGTTTAATGATATACAATAATAATGCTAAATGGACAAATGTAGGGATAATCACGATTATCTTAGTCAATACCACAATTACTCATTGACTTTTAAAAACATCATGCATGTATTCATTTTTTATATATTACATTTGTCCATTTAGCATTT